ATTAAACTTGAAATTAAAATAACTCTTGTAGTAGTAGTGACAAAACAGCCCTAGGATCCGCCAGAGAAAACATTTGAAGATCTGATGAAATTCCTTCCTCATATCCACTAAAGTATACCAATTGTTACATAAGAAAATGTTAGAAACACTATACCACCTCCAGCATTCACGAAAGCCCCAATGGATACTATTAAGCAAACACATAATAACTTCCCTTCTCCACCACCAAAGCAGTAAACCAATCAAAAAAATGAATACAAACAGAAATGCTAAATCAGAAATGGAGAATAAACTCCAAACTCCAGATCCCAAAAATCTTAATCAGAGAGGCCAAATGCAGCATCCACTTGACACAAGAAGCAGTAGTTAGCAACAAAACAATAAAACTAATATCTCTATAGCTAAACAAAAGATTCCAGACCACAGCAAAGACAAAACCCCAAATGAAAGACAAACTATTCCAACTCCCAGGAAAGGCAGGACAAAAAAAACATAAGGTAAAGGCTACTAAGAGCAGCAGACCAAACATCACATAACACATGGCAAGAAATACAAACACCATAAATAGCAAAAACATAAAAATCAGCTCGATCTAATATAAGGCAGACCAATTCTATCCAGAGTCACCAAACCTTTTAAAGTATGAGGAAAATTGTTCACATCAAACTCCATTTCCTCCTCCAAACTGCTCCCGAGTTTAGCCAAACGGTCAGCACACGCATTACCTTCTCTGAATATATGCTTAATCGTATAATTAATAGTAGAGAGGGCCAAACGAATTTCCCTGATAATGTAAAATAACTGAGGATGAAAAACATTAACATTGTTAATAATTTGAATAACATTTAAAGCATCCACCTCAATCTCAATGTTAAAAAAACCTCTATTTTTACAAAAAAACAAGACCTTTAAGTAAGCCCATAAGCTCAGCAAAAATGACCATACATGGAGATAAAGGACCCGCATAAGCCACAATTACTTTGCCAAAATTGTCCCAAATAATACCCCCAAAACCAGTTAAGTTACGATCAACAAAACCATCAGTATTGAGCTTCAGGCAGGGAGATAACGGTTTAAACCATCTCACAACTCTATCATTACTAATAAAATCCTCACTACTAATAGGGATACCCAGCTTCACACACAAAACTTCACATTGGAAAAAATTTTTTCTCGATATAAGCTAACCCGCAAATAATTGAAGCAATTTATGATTAATATTGGAGATAATAACCTTATCCTCCATCTTAAATCCCATTATGCTTAGCTTCATTATGGGCCTTCCAAAGAAACCACAAAATAAGAATAGGCAATAAGTTAAGCACATGACCTTTAACCGTGGACATCCAATCAGTTAAATAAGACTGAACAGCAATACTAGCTATAGAATTAATAATAGGAAAAGGTATGTTAACAATCATAGCATAATACCTCTACACTTTTTGAGCAATATCACCATAAAGAAAAACATGATCTATACTTTCAATATCATAACAACAATGGTATTTAGAAGGCAAGTAAAAACCTTTATTCCAAAGCCTAACATCCACCGGTAAAAAACCTTTGATACACCTCCAAGCAAGAATGGAATAAGATAAGTGAATGTTATTGTTCCAAATATTACCATAAATTCTAGAAGTATCATTCTTAATTCTAAACACTTCCCACACCTTATTAATTTTAAAAAGACCATTTGTACACTACAGGAAAAACTGCAATTTCCGGCGTCCATTTTTCGTCGGAAAATGACCAAAATCCGCCGGAAATTTGGATTTCCGGCGGATTTCCGACGAAAATATTTACGCCGGTTTAACGCGCGTCGAAAAAGTGCTACCGACGTAAAACTTTCCGCCGGAAAAAATTCAGGTAACAGATAAGAAAGCTTATTAATATTCCAATTACCATTGTCTATATAGTAACTAACCTTAGTGGAAAGGAGAGTATGAGAGGATTGCATACTGTCAATCGAATCCGTACCTAACCAGTGGAAAGGAGAGCAAGAGTTTACCTTAGTTCGTCTGTTTCGACGGATCTAGGGGCTCACGGATGAAGAAAGCGAATGGAGGAAGACAGGCTCGCAAATAATGTGAAAAATACATGATAAATTGAAAACTATAGTCAGTCGCCCATTTAACAAGCAATTGACTCTTTGCCAAGTCATACCATGTCAGCGTGTTTTTTTTTTGACCGGTGAGTAGCCAGTATCGTCCATTTAATGGGTGACTGTGCCTACTCCTAATTTCCTTTTAAAAGGCGAAACATTTAACAAAAATTATAACTAAATTCAGCTTAAAAATTTGCCCTATATATCGTCAACTGTTGCATTTCTCATATTGCTTGCATATTTATGGTCATCATATTGAATAGATTATTTGGTTATCTGATTAATGGGTTGTGCAGGTCTGGAGAAGTAAGGCAGGCAGCTGTAAGCTGACTGTTATGGAACCAGTTGCCACTGCCGACTAGCCAGCTGCTGCACATAACGCTCGATATCTAGTTTAAGGCTGGTGTACTGGTGTTGGTCGCTAAACAGTAGATACAGACTCTCGTCCATTGCCTTCTTTTTAGATTGTTACGACTGTAAATCTTCAACCGATTTTCAGCTGTAATAATCAGTGACAAAAACTGTTTGCAACGAAGCTTATTGCGACGGTGAAAATGCAGTTTTGCATTCATAGGCATCTCCAACCGAACTCCAAATACACGAATGACATCGCTTGCAAGCTCTAGCTGAATGTCAAAACTTTCGGTATTTAGCTGCTGGTGAACAGTGCGACGCCAATATTCAATTTGCACTGTTCACTTGCATTATTTTTTTGTCTCTACCGGGGATTTGCCGAAGAAACGAGCGAAAGAGGAGAAAGATGGTTACCTTCTACGAAGGGCGTATAATGGAGTTCGATTGGAGATTAATCACGCCATTTTTTAGTTTCACTACATTTTGAAGTAAAAAATGAGATTTTCGATTAAAGATTCCCTTAGGTGATAAAAAAAATGGAGAGATTATTACGTATGGAGTCTGGATACAGAGAATTATTCGATTTTGTGACTATAAATAGTAATAGCATATGGATGAACAGTAAAAATATAGTGATGAACAATAATTATGTTTTTACAGCTCACAGTCACAAAATCAAATGATTCTCTGAATTCGGACTCTACATATAATAATCTCTCTACAAAATATAAAATTTCTTGCAGCATTGTCTTTGTCGATACTATTCGGAGACACTGTGAAGCTTTAAATTTTGTACGTATATATTGATTATTGGAAACTTGCAGTCGTACTGTTTCACTTTGTTCGTCCTCTTTTATCATTATCTAACTCTTTGATTTGCTACAGTCACATACGTTGAAGGCTCTTAGTGGTTGCTATCACCTTTGTTTCGTTTTCTAAGCAGATTAAAGCTTTTCGTCGTTGAATTTTTTGTTTTTCCATAGCACGTAGTAATTAGAACTTAGTTGTATTACAATCAAATTTAGTAACAGGGGATGAATCTTAATATATTTCATTTAAATCTAAAAGGAATATATTTTAATGAATTTTATTACAATCTAAAAGGATGAATCTTAATATATTTCATTTTAATTCAAAAAATTCTTTTAGCAAAATCTTTTTTACAGAAGAGAAAATATTATATGCTTTAATATAATTAACACTAGCTCAAAAAAATATTTTATATACATTATGTTGCCTATAAATTCATTAAAGATTTTAACTTTTTTTATCTTAATCCTTTAATCAACAAAGCTTCTCAAACCAACAAAATGTTTCAAATATTTCAAATATATATTTTATGTGATATGCAAATATTATATTTATTTGAAGTTGATATATCATAAGAATATGCTTTTGATTAAAAACTTCATGCACTTTTGAAGGAACACATGATCTCCATATCTCATATGCTTACAATCAAAACGAGCATCTCAATGGCAGGATTCTGATGACCTCAAAATTGCTCAATTCTAATGTCATTAAGGCACATAAACGCTTACAAAATAGCATATAATCTAGTGGATTAGCATGGAATGTTGCTGATTGAGTGTTTAGTATATTGGCTAAAATAACTAAAATGTTTATCTCAAAATAGATCGAAGACCCATTCTTCATGTGAACAAGAGTTTAGGTTTGGACCTCAAGTTCAAGTGAGCTTAAACATTTGAAGAATTTTATAGTTCTGTCAGACTACCTAAGTAGATAATCACCCACCTTGTTAGTGCTCAATCGTCTTTGTCTAACTATTATTGCTAGCTAGGTCGTCGTTATCCAATCACTTTAGCCTGATCTCCATCACTTGATTGCCAGTTTTTGTCCATAATCGTCTGACTACCATTTCTCAATTTTCATCACCCAACTGTCATTTCCCAATTATATATGCCCATCTATTGACGTCCGATTGTCATCACTCAACCTCTACCACCTTGTGACAATCTCTTGATCCCTTTCATCCATTGGTGATACTCACATTTACCAACCGCCTTACCACGGCCATTGCTCTCCTCTACTTCCTCAATATTCTCCATCATCTTCATGGTAAATCAAACTAGCAGCTTATATTTTCTCCAATTAAGTGGAAAAGCAGGCTTCTAAAATTTTAATTACATAATGGATTATTTCAACCAGGTCAAATCTCATTATTTTTTTCGTATCTTCCTCTGCCTTTGTGTATGAATTTTTATATAAAGCTAAAACATAATTCTCACTCTATCGCTGCATCATTTTCAGCACGCAATATAACATAAAGACGAAAAAATGGAACAATTAATAACAATTTATTAAATAATGGTATCTTTCCTTCTAAAGTAAATATCTACAGTTCAAATCATTCCAAATAAACAAGTTGAATCATTAATCCCCACTCAACCAATTAAAAACACTAAAAAACAGCATAAATTTTTTCTTTCATACAACCAATTATTTGTATATAACAGCATCCAACTGCACTAATATACATTAATGCCTTAATAATGGATCTAACAATGTTGAATTAATATATATATATATATATATTATCCTTAATTTACTATATAAAAATATCATTATGTAGATACATGACATGATCATTAGAAGTAAATATTATTATCCTTTCTCTCTATAGAGAAACCTAGTTCTTCAAAGCTTACAATACCATGGCTACCATCAAGCCCCACATCCCACAAAGGCCCACATTGTTCATCAATATTACCCGTATTGCATTCCATTAAATTTTGGATGAAGCTTGAGTTATGATCATTTTCTGTGTATTTAGAAGTGGATAACGAGCACCAATTCAGTTCCTCAGAGCCTAGTGGTTGTTGCTCAGTAGCAATAAGCGAGCTTGAGTACTGAAAGGTTGGTGAGTTAGTATTATAGCCATTGCTCATAGTTTCCTTTTCTCCTTCCCCTTTTCTTTTGTGGAATACTCTGCAAAGGACCCAATCTTCCTGCGAAACATTCATGCAAGGAAGCTTAATTAAAAGAAGAAATAAATTAGAGATAAGATTCATTTATTATAATTTTGTATTATTGATTAAGGTGCAATAAAGAGAAACTTTAGTTGGAAGTGATCCATATTAGTAATTTTTGTTAATGATAACAAAGAATTAACAAAAATTACTAATATGTTTTCACTTTATTGTACATTAACTAATAATACAAAATTATAACAAATGAGCCTATATTTTATGTACATAGTTACTTTTTAAGAGACTTCTTAGTAGCATGAAGGCTAAGGAGAAACTCTTGAATGTTATCCAATTATTAATACTTTATACGACTCATCATCAAAGTGATATATTATATTAATTAAAAAATTTTTGCTTAGGACAAAATCAAATAAAACTTGACCATGTCACAAAGAACAATTATTATCTTTCATAAAAATGATGAACTTATTATGTCTCTGATTTCTATCATAATTATAATGGTGTAAATATGACTATTTTCTTTTTTATATGCAAAATAGTAAAATAAAATCATTATTTCTTAATAAGTAATCTATTATTTATTTATTTCTTTAAGTAAATATAGCAATGCAATGAGTAGTAAATCACATAATTGGACAAACCTTAGGTGGAGAATGGGGTGTCTCAAGGCGAAATTCATGCATGACCCAATTAGTCTTTAAGCCACTTGGTGCTCTACCATGGTAGAACACTAAGGTCTTTCTCATCCCAACCATGGAAAGTGTCCTTGGATTGTAGACCATTCGGTCCTTTCCTGTGGCCTTCCAGTATCCTGATCTTGTTGCTCTATTTGTTCTTAATCCTGTAGCATACTTGCGATCACGAAAGCTGAAGAAATACCACTCATTTAAACTCATCTTCGCCACCTCTGATCACCACAATAATAAAAAATGTCAAAATAACTACTTAAAAGCATCCACGATGAAAATATAAATAATTAGAATCATTATTATTATTTGAAAAACAATAAGTTTCAAATATTTAGGTATAATACAAATAATATTTATAATGAAAATGAATATTAATGATGAAATTAACTAAAAGCTTTATACCATATAAAGAAAGATACTTTGAAGGGAAATAATTATTCACCTTGATTTTGTATCACAAATTTTTTGCAATATTTATAAATACAAAATGCGAAGAAAAAGGAAAGTAAATTAATACCCGTTTAATATAAAGACTAAATTAAAAGAAACAAAAGGAAAGGCACCCATAATGAATGTCAATTTAATACCAAAACTAAATTAAAGGGAACCAAAAGAAAAGTGAATTAACACCCGTAATAAATATCAATATTATATATAAACTAAGGATCCATATATTTGGGACAACTATAACTTTTTATAAAGATAATTGTAAAGCTAATGTAAAGAAAGTAACTTTTTGAAAGCTACTGTAAAGAGTAATTCATAGCACAAAAATTTATTGAAATGAGTAGACAAACAAAAATTATAATTGTTATCTGAAAAGCAAAACGGTAAAAAAAATTGCCTCTGCAAAGCCTAAATGAAAAGTAAACAAAAGAAAACGGAATTGGCATATGTAATAAATGTCAATTTAATACACGGACTAAAAGAAAATAAATAGAAAATAATGAAATAATTGAATTATTTGCTTTCTCCAATATACAAGTGGGTGACTCATGAACTGTCAAATGACTAAACTTCGTTTGGGATGGCTTCTTTATTGCTTCTTAAAACAAATATTTAGTATAAAAATTAAAATTTTTGCACTAAAAAGCTGTTTAAAAAAAGCAATAAAAAAACTATCCCAAATAAAACCTAAGCATATGCTTTGATTTTTATTATTTGTGAGAGATGTCTTCTTAAATAGACAGTTTGGACCATTGTGATGAAAATAATGACCAGTATTATTCCTTGGGAGATTTTTTGTACTGTAAGGAAGCTGCTCTCAGTGAAATTTATATAATGCATGCATACAAAAAAGCAGTCAAATTGACCATGAAGAACATCTATATGATAAGAAACCATTCAAGAAAGTAAACAAACAAAGGCAACATTATGGTCAAGAAAGGCACATAGGAAAACCAACTTTTACTTGATTAAACCACATATATGCATTATATCTCATCATCATCCTATCAAAAATCAGAACCATTGCCTTTCTTAGGGTTGGTTTGCGACAGATTTCTTATTGTTTTTTAAATCATCTTTTTTGTACACAAAATTTTTGAACAAAAATTTTGTACTGAAAAGATGCTTTAAAAAGCAGTAAGAAAACTATTTTTTGTACTGAAAAGATGCTTTAAAAAGCAGTAAGAAAACTATCACAAACCAAACCTTAAGCTTCATTTTAGATGGCTTTCTTATTATTTTACTTTTTAGACCACAACTCCATATTCTATTTGACCATTGCTTTTAAGAAATTTATCTGCAAGAAAACTGCTCTCTAAAACAAGTTTTAAAAAAGTAATTATTTTTTTCATAATAATTTTATAACCAGCTTTATAAAAAGCTATAGACATCATAATCATATCTTTAATATATTCAATTGCACTGTTTATTTATATATATATTTTAAAGATAAATTTTGATTACTATTGTTATAATGCTATTGTGCAAAGATCCACCTAAGGAATGGAAGAAAGATAAGGGTAGAGTAATATTTGTGGTTTCTTACGTAAAAATTTGAACATTTTATGTATAAACTCAAGAAATAATTGCTTGCAGGAGGTTATTTACACAGTACGTATATAAGGAATCTATGTGATAGATCTTTGCATTAAAATTAGTGCTATACAAAGTGATCTTTAGATATAATATTAATCTCTCAGAATCAGAATATTCTGAGAGATCTAATAAATTTTAAATTATATATATAAAATCTCCCGATATCAATTATTTTTAAGATAACCTTGATTTTGACACGCATAGAAATAAGCAGATTTTTTTTGTTATTTAAATGTTGAAATAAAATATAATATGAAAGAAATTATTTTTAAATCTTGTTAATAAATTTTATTTCTTTTATCAATTAAGTTAGGTAAAACTCACATATAAGCAGTAATTTCATTAATTCTTCTTCAATTAATCATATGTAATAGTATGGATATGGGCACCTTCATGATTAATTAAAGCTGCTCTTCACCATGATTATTGTCAGGAGTTCCTCAAATATTTTATTTTTCATATATATAATACTAAACGAGTAAATTAATGGCTTAAAAAAATATTAATTCTATATATTTGAGAACTATTATGTACAAAGAATTACTTCTAAGCTGTCCGAGCGATATTCAAGCGATTAATACCATTAAAATGGAAGAGAAGCAGGGAAAAAGAAAAAGAAATAGAAATTGAGAGAAGAGAAGATGATGAAGAATATGGACATCGATTTGAATGAAAGCTAGAGCGAATGTACTGTCAACAGAACTTACCAGGTAGCTCCCATGGCTCAAGTCTGTGCAAATCAACTTCCACCAACGTTCCCTGAGAAGCGCTTTCATTTGCCACCTTCTTTTGAAGATAATGGCAGATCAACTCTTCATCGCTGGGATAGAACCTGAAACCTGGAGGGAGAGTAGACTCTACCTCTCTTAATCCCATATCTAATTATATGAAGAGAAAGAGAGAGAGAGAGAGAGAGAGAGAGAGAGAGAGAGAGAGAGAGAGAGAGAGAGAGAGAGAGAGAGAGATGAAGTTGTGGAGTTGAAACTTAAGCTGAGAAATCCAGGCTTCAGTACAAAAGTTGTTTGTGAACTGTTTGAAAGGATGAGCACTAATATGCGTATATATAGGAGGAGAAAAACCAAGAAAGCTGTCTAGTTAGGCAGTAGTGTTTAGTGTTTACAATCCCGGCAAGACATGCTAGCTAGCTAGAGCAGTAGAGCTCATTAATTATAAACTTCATATTTTTGGGTAAAGATAATTTTATTTTAACTAAGGTGTTATTTGGAACGGTTTTATTTCTGCTTCATAAAACATCTTTTTAATACAAAAATTAAAATTTTTATACTAAAAAATTGCTTTAACAAGCATTAAGAAAATCATCCCGAAGCCTTTCTAGATTTAAACAAGTAAATAATCCTAAGAAGAAGACAGAAGATGGGCAGGATCACAAGTAACCTTCAAATCATTTGGCTATTTGTTGAGGGAAAACCATTAGAAAAAGGAACGGAATCTAAAAATTTCTTATTAGTTAAAATATTTTTTTCTAAGTCTAAAAAACTAAATGGCCCTTAGAAGAAGACAGAAGAAGGGCAGGGTCACAAGTAACCTTCACATTGGTAGAAAGCTGACCTCACGCTTTCACGTTTTCTTGTGAAACACAAAGGCAGGGAGCTTCAAGACATTTTAGTTTGTTATTCATACATGTATGTTTAGATTTCATACTTGTCATCATAAAAGTTGGTAACAAGCTGGCAACCTAATATAGTTGGTAAGATTGAAATGGTTTGAATGACGCAGCTCATCCTGGTCTGTTGGTTGAGAGCTTTGGCTATATATCAACCAAGAGGTCTAGAGTTCGAGGCTTGCATTTGTGATGTGTGTATGAGCTTGCCTTCATTGGCTTCAATGTCCAACACCGTTGCTTTTTCTCTTTGTAGTATCGAGTTTAATTTTTATTATTATTATTTTGTTCTTTAGTTTAGAAAATTTTTGTGTAATACAAATGAGTGTGGCTTTATTTTTTCTACCTCCTTGAATAGTTTTTTTCTAGTTTGCTCTCTACAACTCTTCAATGTTGTACTCCTGATTTTCTTTATCGTGTTATAGAAGGTCTGCTTAACAGCACATGCTCCCTTTTTTTTTTGGTTAAAGCCCACTCATGGGGCCTACGCGTTAAAATTCAAAAATACTGTTACAAGGTCCTTAAAAGGAACCTCTAGCTCACTACTGCTCGAAAGAGCTACAGTCAAAAAAGAAAATTCAAAACCTATGAGCCAGTGATTCCTTTCTCTACGATTACAAAAGGAGATTAAAAATAAAGAAGGTCTGTGAGTCAACAGAACCCAAAAAAGGAAGCTCATAATGATGGCATTCAACTCAGTCTTCCTGCAAAAAAACAAGAACAAAGCCCACAAAATTCTAAGGACCAAAAGAAAATTACCTTGCAAGCAGTAAAGATTGCACCACGAAAGATGTAGAAATTCCCAAAAATCCTTGCGGTCAATGAAGCTCCGTGAAGTAATCCTGCAAGGAAATCTCAGAAAAAGCGAATTAGATAAATCGATACGAATTATGCAATTATAACCAAAGAGGTGGTTCCAGTCATTAAGCCTAATAATGAAAACAAGATAAAACTTTCCGATGGCCGCCAAAATATAAGAAAAAGCCCTGCAGCCATAATAATCTCCAGGCGATATATCCTTCAGAGCAACCATAATGTTATGCATAACAAAACCATAAAATATCATAGTAAACGAATCCTTCAGAGCAACCAAAATGTTATGCATATCAAAACCATAAAAGTTCATAGTAATCGGAGCAGAAACAATAATAATAGATAGAAAAGGCCCTTCCAGCACACAGAAGACCAAATTAAAGCAAGTCACAGATCAGCTAAGACCAACGACAGAATAACAAGTATAGTAAAAAAAAAACAGAACACAAGGGTCCTACCAGCACACTGGTCACCAACACAGAACTCTAGCCCAGGCAACGCCAAAGACCTGGACCCATCTAAGAAGACAACTAAGAACATCTCCAACACAATGACAGAAAAACAAAAAATGCCAGAAAAATATAAAAAACTGTAGTGATAAAAAGACAGACAACCCGGATTAGACCAAACTTGCAGCACATAAACCAAAACAGCACATGCTCCCTTCAATGGATGCATCTTCATCCTCTTCACTAAACGAAGAAATGACAGCCCTCAGTATTAATGTTCCTACAATAACCTCCTCCCTCAAGTTCTTGGCATGAAAAACATTGTGACAACCAAGCTCTGCAACGATAGCTACAACTAGTGGAATATCAAATTACCAAAATATTAAGTACTGCCAATGAGTAATGAGTGGCTTTGTTGTTTGCACAGCTCAAATTTTTTGTTGGGAAGCAAATTATGCAATGAAACAAGTTAGAAAAGAAAACAATGAAAATAAACAACATGATTAATGTGAAAAAAATTGAAATTAAGAAACAACTACAAAGTCACACTACACCAAGAAGTTTACTATGAAATTTTTGGGAGAAAGTATACGATATCTTCCTCACACTCTTTCTTTATCTCTATTTGTTGATCTCATTTTTTATCTCATGCAAGAATTTCAAGCTCATGTCCCTTAATATGATGTGTCCAAAGCATGGGTGAGTACTAGTCTTCTTGACCAAGTTGACCGGTCAAGATGGTCAAACTTATTTTAAAATTCCAAAATATTCAAAAAAATCAAAGTTGGTCAAATCTCATGCATGTATGCCACAAGGCTTCTAAGGACCCTCATCATCTATTCTAGTCACCTTGATCAAATTTGACTAGTTGAAGTGGTCAAATCAAAAATATCCAAAATATCAAATTTAGTCAAATGTATCAAGTTCAATCTCTCCAACCCATACCAACCCTTGGAGTTGATCTAAACCCACTCTAGAACCTTCCTGGAGCTTTTCAAACTCAAGCTTAACCCTTGGTACAATCCAAACCTAACCCAATGATCCCCCCTTCATGAAATGCCAAAATGGGCTTCCACAAAGGGTTGTCCTTACCCAACCAAAGCTATCCACCTAGCCTCATGAGACACTTGGTAAACATCTAAAGAAATAGCTCCAAGCCATCCCAACTCTCCATGAAAACCTATGAGGAAAAACAGTCAAAACCCTCATAACACACACAACACTCAAAAGCTCTCCATGCAAGTAACCTCTAATTGATGAAGCTTTCTTCTTCCCTTCCTCACTCTTTCCCACCATTAAAAGTGTAAAGAAGAAAGATCTAAGGAGATCATATAGGAGATTTTCTTTGAAGAAATCATAACTTTTGATCTAAGCATTTTTAAAAGGAGAGTTATTAGAGAAGTTGTTCATCACGTTCTTACGAAGAAAATGAGCCCAAAAATAAGCCATTTTGAAAACCATATAGAGGTATATTGTAACTTCTAGTTAAAAACTTTGATTGTGAATAACTTTTAAAATATATCATAAAAGGCCCCCAAAATCAAGGTATAAGAAGTTCATAAGGTCATAAATTTTACCTAAGAATTTAATTAAGTTTGGCCAAGTTGATAACCCACAACAAGTAAAATAAATTTCTTTAAGAAAATTGTTCTAAAGGAAGAAGACGAAATTTAGATTGTCCATCTTTGATTAAATAGTCCAGATTTTGCTAAAAAGCTGATCTGTCTAACCCATTGCATGGGATCCTGCCCACAGATCCATGCAACACTAACGTGGATAAGTGAACAACCCATATTCGACACATAGTAGCCATCGCCCGCGGCCCTAGTCCTACCTCTAATTGCCATTACCTAAAATTTAACAAAAAATATAATTAAAAAATGTCCAGAATTTCAAAAAATCATAAAAAATTCAATTTAGGGCCAAATTTAATGATCTTGTGCTTTATGAAAAAGGAATGATGAGACCTAGTTTTTTAAAAGTAAAATTAAATATTTTGATAGATATATGGAGAGTAATGTATATTTAAATTTATGAGGAATTTTACAAATTACTCCCCAATCAAGCTCGTATTGGGCTCAAATTTGGACATAACAAACTGTGGGATGGTTAGGGTTTAGGTCGTTGCTTGTGGTTCGCCACCGCCATTCATGTCATTCATCGTCTCGTCGTGCTATAGCCATCAGTTGCCATTCACTACCTTGTCATGGTGTATCCATCTGCTATCTCATCTCTAATTCCTTGGTATCTTGATAAGTTTTCACCATTTTATTTTATGATAGAAATGTACCCCTCAAATTAACTTAAGGGATAAGATGACTGTAGGACATGTAATGCTTTATGGCATAGAATGTTGGCCATTAAAATAGAAGCATAAAATAAATTTAAGTCTTCTAGAGATAAAGATGATCAGGTGGATGAGTGGCTTTACTCTTAGGTATATAATGAGAAAAGTACATATATATGTAAAGTTTAGACTAGCTCCAATGATAGTTATGATTAGAAATAGTCACCTTAGATGATTTGGTCACATAAAAAATCTGCCTTATGATGACCATATTATGAGAGTTTGACTCTTAGAATGACACAATAGAGAAAAATGAGTCATGCATGCTGTTGACCCTACATATGGATAAAGGCCTATTGTTGTTATTATTATTATTATAAATGATAGATTTCTATATGAAAGCTCCATGTCAATGCCATTAATGCCAAGAAAAATGAGTACTCTAAGTCGATTTATAAATCATTTTTAATTCTATCAATGCATACTCTAGGTCGATTTACAAATCTTATGAATTATATACATGTGTAGGTTAAAATGTACCCTTCTAATAACTTCATATTATGTATATGTAGGAAGAATTCTTCATATTATGGATATTATGAATAAAAGAAGTTAGATGTATAACATTTGACGCAAAAATGAAAGTTATTAACAAATGAGTTTATTAATAGGGTGATTTTTTTTCATCCACACAGCCTATCAATTGCCGAGTTTTCTCTTAGATGGAAAGTTTCATTGCTCGTATTCTAAACATAAAAATTAAGTGCACCTCACTATAGATGAGCTAATTTTTGATTTATATCACAGAGGATTCATGCAAGAATATTGGTATTGAACTTCTTATGATGAGTACGAGTCATATTTTGATTATCAATGCCCGTTTATAAGTTCTAATATACTTGGTCGTAAGTGATAGGTGGAATGTAGAAAGAATGGGTATATAGATTAAGC